ATTGATTGATGAGGGCAGGAGGGAAATCCAGTTTAGAAATGGGCTATTTCTGGGTCACTTCCTCTGTAACCTCATCTTCAGAAGTGCCCCCGTGAACCCCTGTGACTCTGGAATAGTGTTTGCCCAAAAGCCATTCCCAGGATCAGACACTGAATGGCTTCAGGAGTCCCCTATTCAAGAGCCTCTGCCTAACCCCCTGAGTTAAACCCGTTGAGACAATAAGGACAATTCAGGGCCCAAGCTTCAATGTGCCTTTGCCAGTGAATCCCAGCATGAATCATTGCGGCTTAATGAGCAGTACTTTGGGAGCCAAGTACTGATGGCAGTGTGATGGTCTTAAGCTCTCCACCCAGACAATGACAGATTGCTTCCTGCATATAATATGTATCTTCTTTTCTTCGAACAAAGTAAATGAAGTAGGTTCATTGAAAATACAAGGGAGAGCTGTTTCCATTGGGGTGCTCTGTAACAAATGTTTGTGCAGAGGGGGAGAATTCAAACCTGCTGTTACCCTGTAGAAGAAGGGAAAATACATAATTTTTTGTTTAAAAAAAAAGGTCAAGGTCCCATAGTTTTGTTTTGTTTTGCTTTCTTTTTTTTTTTTTAATGTCAGCTTTAATTAAATCATTCCAAGTGGTTTTTTAAAAGCTCTGTGGTGGTGCTCCTGCCTGGTTGGAGGGCCTCTGTGCAAGTATTAGGCAAGGCTTTGATGCCCAGCCAACTTCATTCCTTTCCCAAGCACAGAACAGAAGCAAGCCCAGCGGTGCTCCTCATTATGTGGTCCCAGAAGACCTTCAAATGGAAAGCTGGCATAATTTCCCAAGGTACACCACATCCCAGGAACTTTTCCTGGATCCAAGATTCTCTATCTCCCATGCATCAATATAGAACTGTTCCCTCAGCAGACCTACCCTACCCTTTCCAAAGCCCTACAAACTCCTGAATGGTAGAGGTGGCAGCATCTCATTTCTTTATAACTGCCCACAGCAGCAATTACCAGATACATGCTGACTTAATGAATGTCCCTGATTGAGTCTAAGGGACAAGTAATAGAAACACATGAAATATATGACGTAGTGCTTTCTCCAATTGCATCTTAAATGAGTGAAGCAGTAACACATCTGCATCTTCCTTTTCAGGGAAACTAGTTCTGCTATTCCAGGTTCTAGGAAGCAACATTGGCTGAGATTTCCTTGGACTTCCTTCTCTTAATAACATCATTCTTGCCTCACTAGAGCATGAAGATAGTACATCAAGCATAGCTAAGGGTGCCCAAGTCATTTCTTTGGAAGGACAAATCCCCAATTCATAGGGAAATGAGGGACTTACAGAATCACAGTTTTTGAGAGTAGAAAGAGACCCCCATCTCATTCAACCCATGCACCAAAGGAATCCCCACTATGATATACCTAACAAGTGATCATCTTGCCTCTGACTGGATACCTCCAAGGAGGGAGAACTCATTACCTCCAAGATAACCTATTCCACTTTTGGACATCTCTAATTCTTAGAAAGTTTTTCCTAACATTAAGCCTAAATTTTCCTCTTACAACCTCTGCCCATTGATCCTGGTTCTCCCCCCTAGGGACAAACATAACTAGTCTGATACTTCCTGAAAATGGCAGCCCTTGAAATAATTGAAGACAGTTATCATTCCACATTCTACCCCATTCCCCCACCCCCAGCCTTCTTTTTTGTACAGGCTAAACATGCCTAATTCCTTCAACCTGTCCTCATCTGTCATGGACTCTGCCCTTATATTTAGGTTAAGAAGTCAAAGAGGATGAGATCAGAATCAATTTTGAGCCTAGATCAAAGAGTTTAGCCTATCCAGTATTATCATTAATGCCAGGGTATGAACCATTCACATAAAATGGCAGTGAGGATACCCTCAGCTCCCAATAAATGGGGCATCAATTGAACTGTTAAGAATGCCACTAAATGGGGTAACTAGATGGCATAGTGGATGGCACTCCAGCCTTGGAATCAGGAGGACCTGAGTTCAAATTTGGCCTCAGACAGTTGATACTTACTAGCTATGTAACCTTGGGCAAATCACTTAACCCCAATTGCCTCACCAAAAAGCGAAAAAAAAATGCCACTGAAGTGATTTTCAATGTCAATCTTGTATAAATCTTATATTGGTTTCCCTGAAGCTTAAATTCCTAAACTTCCCCAACATCTTAGTCTAGCATACAACCCTTAGCTTAAGATATTTAATTATGAGTTATAAATCCATTTAAGGGAGAAAGATTGAAAAAGACCTGATGAGTTTAATGGGCTGAGATCTCCATATGAGTCAACAGTGTATCATGACAGTCTAAATGAGGTAATGTGATCATAGGCTGGATAGAAAGGTGAAGTGTCCGGAACAAAAGAGGAGATAGTCCTATTGTACCTTATCCTTCTCAATCACACATGGAATATCATGTTCAATCCAGCATGCCACATTTCAGGAAGAACACTGACAAACCGGAGAATGTCCAGAGGAAGCAACCAGGAGAGTGAGGGGACTGGAGACCATGCCCAATAAACTTTAGTTGAAACTAAGCATGTTTAGCCTGGAAAAGTGAAGACTTAGGAGAAACATGGTAGCCATCTCCAAGTATATGAACAATTGTTATGTGACAAAATGATTATATTTGTTCTTCTTGGTCCCAGAGGCAGAAGCTGAAAGTGATGGGTAGCAATTACAGAGAAGGAGATGTAAATGAAGAGCTACCAATGAGGGCTATCCAACAGTGGAAGCCTCACTCCACTCCATAAAAGAAGTGACATAAAGATGGTAGGTTGCACCTCCATGGGGACCTTCAAGCAGAGCCTGGATAAGCACTTGTTATGTTGTCAAGGAATTCTTACTCTGTTAAAGTTTGAATAAGATGATCCCTTCCAACTCTGACACTTTGTGATTTACACCCAAAATGCTATTTTTTTTCCCTTTTAGAGCATCTCATACACTTGGAGACCTCTATGTCAAATTAAGCCTTGATGTCAGGAAAAAACTTCCTAACAATTACAGTTGTCAAAAAGTGGAATATATTACTTCAAGAGATGGTGAGTTTCTCTTCCTCTGAGGCTTTCAAGTGAATGGGTTGTATGTCTATTTGTCAGGTATCTTATAGTCAGACTTCCTTTGGGGTATGGATTGAACTAGATGGCTGCTGAAGTCACTTCTGAACTCTCAAATTCTGTGATTGTATAAGCAATTTGTTTCAAGATGAAGAAAAAAATATACATAAGGGGGGGAAGTGAATAAATATTCATTAAGTACCTGCTATGTGCCAGGCACTGTGCTAAACACTTTACAAATATAATATCCTTTGATTCTCACAACAATGCTACATGGTGAGTGCTATTATGATTTCCATTTGAGGAAATTGAGGCAAGCAGTGGTTAAGAGATTTGTCCAGGATCACACAGCTAGGATATATCTGAGGCATGATTTGAACTCAGAACATCCTAACTCCAGGCCCAACTCTTTGTCCACTGTGCCCCCTAGCTGCTCTGAGACAGCTGGATTTTTCTAAGATCACCCAGTGAACCAAATTGTAGGTGTTTTGCTCTACACAAATGAGTTGCCTCCCAATTACGCTCTTCCCAGGGACAGAAAAGAGGAGAAGAACCCTTCAGGTAGCTCAGGGATCTCTTTGAGGAAGAAGGAGGGAACTCTAGATGCTGTTGTCAATCAGGTGCCAATACTCTGTGAAGCCTCTATTCCATGCTCCTGCACCTTAGTAGTGAGTTCTCTCTCCTTTATACAAAGCTGATTTGTGCATTTCCCCCAACCCCTAGTAGAATAAAAGTTTTTGAGGACAGGGACTGTTTCGTTTCTGTCTTTGTGTTCCTAGTGCCTAGTCCATTCTTTGGACACGGCAGGCATTTAATGGACATTTGATGAATTGTATTGCACTGAATCAGAGCTTGTGATTGCAAAGTCTGGTGTTATTATAGCACACCCCCTTCTGCTTATACAGTAGGAGAAATACCAGGAAACATAGCTTGCGGGCTTGGATCTGTTTTTAAAAATTGTTCTTACTGTCACAGAGTAGTGTTCTCTTTGAGAGTACCCACTTTTAGGTCATTTTGAAAAGATAGCTTCATGGACAGTTGGCAGTTGAATTAAGCCATAAAGAAAAACAAGGATTTGATAGATAGAGATAAGGAAACAGTGTATTCCAGGGACGAGGTATGGCCTACATGAGTCAAGAAATGGAATACTGAATTCAGCAAATGAAATGACTGGTAGTCCAATTTGTCTCATATCCACATTCTTTTTGTGGATTTGTGTATTCTTTTTGTTTGTAAAAGAGAGATATATGAAATAAGGCTGCGAAAGTCACTGAGAGACAGATTGTGGAGGGCTTGAAATTTCAGCTTAAGAAGTTTGTATTTTAACCTATAGTAAATGGGGAGCCATGGAAGGACTTTGAGCAGCAGAGTGGCATAGTCATAACTATTGCTTAAGATTAGTGTGTCAGCTATGTGAAAGATAAGAGTTGAGAAGGTAGAGACCAAAAATCAGGATGCCAATTACCTGGCATCCTTTAATTCTTTTAGTCATCTTAGACTGTCCTTTTCCTTAGCAAGTATAACTAGTGGGACTGTTATGATCCGTAGATGAGGGCAGTTAGGTGGCAAAGTAGATAGAGCGCCAGCCTTGGAGTCAAGAGGACCTAGATTCAAATCCAGCCTCAGACACTTGACACTTACACTTACTAGCTGTGTGATCTTGGGCAAGTCACTTAGCCCAGATTGCCTCACCAAAAAAGAAAAAAAAAAAAAAGGATCCATAGAACCTTAGCACTGGAAAGGATCTTAGAACTGAGGTAGCTGGGTGGTATCATGGATAGAGCACTGAGCCTAGAGGAAGACCTGAGTTCAAATTCAGCCTCAGATACTTATTAGCTGTGCAGTCCTAGGTGAGTCAGCTAACCTTTGCCTGCCTCAGTTTCTTCAACTGTAAAATGGGAATAATAATAATAGTACTTACCACTCAGTGTTGTTATGAAGATCAAATGAGATAATATTTGTAAAGTGCTTAGCATAGTGCCTGGCACAAAGTACGTGCTTAATAAAGATGTGTTCTCCTTGCTTTCCCACTTTAGAACTCATTGAATGTGTGGGGTCAGAAAGACCTGGGCTCCAATATGGCTTCAGACACTTAATCTCTCTGTGCCACATTTTCCTCATCTATAAAAGAGATAATTGTCATTAATGGCCTCCTAGGTCCCTTCCTATCCTAAAGCAGGAATCCCTTTTCTAATATCCTTGACAGGTGGTCATCCAACCTTAGCAGAAATATTTTCAGAGAGAAGGAATTATCTTCTTAGGAAGCCCATTTCATCTTTGAATAGCAGCAGATGAGAAAGTTCCTTCTTAGAGTGAATTGAAATCTTCCTTCCTGAGACTCCCACTTCATTCTGTCCTGAAGATCTACAGAGTAAATTGAATCCCTCTTCAAAACCACTGGGCTTGATACTGTTTCCCGACGCAAAATTCTTCCAACTCTTTCAATTTTGCAGGCTGTAAAGGAGAGATTGGCAAGAGAGAAGGTTAACTACAAATGGATAGCCTGAGTAATGCACAGGAACCCACAAAATGTTAAATGTATTAGAAGAAATTATCTAACCCATTAGGAAGATGCTATACACAAAGCTTTTTGGAGGACATGGACAAGAATCACACAGAGCAAGCTCATGAATATAAGAGATATAGAAGAGGAAGTGATCACAGAGTATTATCATAGAGACTAACCATAGTCTAGGCTCCTACTCTTCAGATGAAGAAATTGAATCCCAGTGAGATCAAATTACTTACACAAGATCACACAGGTGGTGACAGAGCTGAGATTTGAACCTGGTTCCTCTGAAAGACTCCAGATCCAATTAGTTTTCCATTATACCACACAAAAGGCACAGGGCAACTACACATATCAATCAGATCACAGATTGAATGAAAGAATAAATGAATGAAAAATACATAATAAGCACTTACTATGTGCCAACTCCCACGCTAAGCATTGGGAATATAAATGCAAAAGCAGCCTTCAAGCAGCTTACATTGGGATGAGGGAGACATTACACATAGGGGTGTGGTGTCCAGGGAGGTCCAGAAAGTTATTAAAAAGGTAAGCCGTGAGTAGAGCCTTGGGGAAGTAGATTATTATACCCTCTCCAGGAAATGATGGAGTTGATTTAAACACATTTCATGGTTCCATCATTAGAAAGGGATAAAGATGTGGAGATGGCTAGACAGTCAGGAGTAAAGTAAAAGCTGGGGCTTTCCTGAAATTATTATTATGAGTTTTGTTGTTGAGCCATTTTAGTTACGTCCAACTCTTCACAACTCCATTTGGGGTTTTCTTGGCAAATATACTGGAGTAGTTCACTATTTCCTTCTCCAGCTCATGTTATAGATGAGGAACTGAGGCAAACAGGGTTAAGTGACTTACCCAGGGTCACACAGCTAAATGTCTGAGGCCAGATTTGAACTTGAGTCTTTCTGGCTCCAGGTCAAGCACTCTATCCATTAAGCCACCTAACTGTCCTCCTGAAATAATGGTCTAGGAGAAGAAATCACCAAAAAGGACAGGTGGAAATCTTCCAGAAAAGTGTGAGGGCAGCAAGGAGTGGTTGGTGAGGATGTGGAGGAGATGGCCAGAGAGTTAGAGAGTAGAGAGTACTTTACTCATTAACCATGAAAGGAGTAGTATAGTACAAAGAAGATATAATTCATTTCATGTTTAAAAAACAAACGTGGATTTCATTGAATCAATCAATAACTACTTATCAAATATTTTCCAAGTCAGTACCCAACTCTGTGCTGAGATGGGGATACTGAGGCAAAAGTAAATTATATAACTCTCACCTGAAATCATGTATCATAGGAATCAGAGAATCATTTTACTATTCAACAGTCCATTTATTTATTAAGTAGGATTTTTCATAACTATCTATTTCTGTTTCTGCCCCTGCCTTTCCCATCTCCCTACCCCTGTGAGATGGTTTCTACAAACAACACAATGTCAAAAATGGTTCCTCAAATGATTCCTCATTTAAATCTGCTTCTGAGTTGGAAAGGGTAGGGAAATGTTTCAGTCATTTCAATTAAAATATGCTACCCATTCACCATAGAAGGAGCATGAGAAAGCTCTGCCAGCTATAACCTGAGTTATTGAGGCCAGAAGCACAAACCATTCATTAACTGTTTCTAGAGGTACAGCAGCCATCGGAAAAGTTGGCCTCATTAGCTGGGTTTAGCGTTTAAAATGTGCCTTCCCCGTTATTGCTTTAAAGTTGTCAAGCTGGTGTGACAGACAATAAGTTGTAAGGACTTAGAATGGATGGTGGGGAGCAGTATATCATGTAAGGCCTGCAGGAGCAGGCCTACACTTTGAACCTTGTCATTCCATACCACTGACCCACCTCAGATTTTATATGCCAACTGTGAGGGGATCACACTGGAAGGAAGAGACGCTACCTCCACCTCGGGTCCAGCTCTGTTCTTCCTGGGTCTACCTCAAGGCTCCCAATTTCCCCAAGTTTTACGACTGCTCTGATCTGCCAGTTGCCACCATGCCTGGCCACTAGGGGGAGGACTATGCTCCCTATCCAAGCTGGAAACACCCTAATTTGTAGACTGCTAAAATTCATAGAGGCTTTGGAAATCCTCTGATTTTACTAATGAAGAAATTAGGCGATATACCCAGGGTCGTCCAGCTAGTTAGTGGCAGGCCTGGAACTGGAATCCAGGTCTTCAGATTTCTACTTCATAGCTCTTCTCACCTCTTTACACCTCATGACTTCACTTAAAACCCCCCTTCTCTTGGCAAACCTATTAAACATCTTAAGAGTTTGTGAGTGCTAAGAGAACTAAAAAGGTCACATGTAAAACGGGTGGAGTTACATGCAAGAAAGACCTGCCCTAGCCTGCTGTGGACTCAGGTTGGCACCGATTCTAAGGTGAATTTCTCCTCTAGATTCCCTTGTGGACTATGCTTCAAATTCTCATCTCTGAGTTCAGGTGCCTGTGCCATCTACTCTGGCCCCTGGTGGCACTGGCTTTCTTCTACAGTTTTCCTTTGCCCCTGGGTCCTATCCTGGTCTGGATTTACTGAATGAGAAAGACATTTCTCTATCTGACACCCAAATATTCTTCCTCTTGGTTTCAAACCATCCTGCACCGACTCTGTAGTAACGTCCATTATCCCTCCTGAAGATAACCATGGCTCCAACCCTTAGAAGTCTTACCCTAACCTCTTCTTTCTTCTCTCCTCAATTTGTGTGAAGCACAATCGCTAGCCAGCTATAGAGACTGGTTCTGTCTTTCAGTAAAACGAGACTGTTCTAAGGTTGGATCTAAGCTTGTCTTTCTTGTGATGGTGTGGTTTCAGTGATAATTTCCATTGGCACCTGGGGCTCTTTGCCATTTAATCCAGTCTCTTGAAAATCCAAAGGCAGAATGTTATCTCTTTCTGTTTCACATACATATAGTCTGTGTTGCCTTTTGAACCATTTGCTAAATTGCTGTTTCCTCCTGAAGGTCATTCCTTGTTCTCAGTTCATTTGAAAAGGAGAGAGAGAAAAAATCATCTCACTAAGCTCACTAAATGGACAAACCATTTGAGGTTAGTGGCCTCTCATTTTCTCAAGGTTTTTGTTTGGTTTTGCTTTGATGGTGCATGATTCCTATGTTCTTGGGGGAGGGACAGAAATCTACATATATATGAAAAGTTAAACAATATATTCTAGAGGTTCCAATGATCTTAGAGATGTAATGATTTTCTCCAGTAATACAGATCACAGTACATCATGTCCACTCATCCTGTGATACTCTCATCTATTGCCTTCCTTCAACTTTCCCATAGGTGGAATAGGCCATCAAGGTGCTGAGGGCCTTCCTCATGACATGAGGAGGATATTAATGTACATGTGTGTTACCTCCTCCCTTCTACACATACACATGGTATTAACCCAAAACAACAACAAAAAAAACATTTTTGCATATTTTTGTAATCTCCATACTAGCACAAAACATTAATATAGAGCAGATTCTCAATAAATTTTTGTTAAATGAATAAATAAAAAGAATGAGAGAGCACAGCAGACCTGAGACCATAAGGCAATTTTTTAAAATTTTAATTTATTTTATTTTTAATTTATAGAATAAAACAAGCATTTCCATAATATGGTATCATATTTTTAAAAATATATGATTGCACATGAAACTGCAAATCTATCTATATGGCAATTCAACCCAGGACCTGGCAGGACAAATGTCCCCAGGCTAGACAGGCTCTGTCCTTACATTGTCATCTGTCTGACCCACAGATAGGGGCATCAGAGGGATACAGGTTATGTTTGGGCAGGGGTTCGTAACATTTTTGTGTCCTGACCCCTCTGGCAGTCTATTGAAGTCTATGGAAGCTTTCTCCGAATAATGTTTTTAAACGCATAAAATGAAATAGACAAGACTAGAAAGGAAACCAATTATATTGAAATGCAGTTATCAAAATATGATTTTTTTTTAAAATTTAACAGTCCCCAGGTTAAGAATTCCTTCATCTTAAGGTGATTTCTTTATTGATGGTTTCTACCATTGTCTCTACCATACCCTTGGGTAAAGGCATGACACAGTTAATACGGTGCTGGATTTCCTGGAGCAAATAAGTTACAGATTCAAATCCTACCATAGTTACATGCCAGCTAGCTGTGTGATGCTGGGCAAATCACAACCTCTCTGAATCTCTTTTCTCATCCGAAAAATGAGGAAAATAATGGCATCTTCCTCAAAGGGCTGTTATGAGAATCAAATAAGAGAATGTATGGACAGCATTTTTGCAAACCTTAAAGTACTTAATAATGTGATCTGTTACTACTCACCCAACTTGGGAGACTTTTTTTTTCTTTTATGTGGACTGGTCATTCTACTGATCTGTGTCCCACCCAACAAAGCAGTATAAATGCATATCTGTTTTTAAGCAGAGCAATTGTTTCTGGTTTGGGGAAACTAAAGAATGTTTGGGGGACAGCGGGTAGAAATGGGAGGGCCAGCTGTCTGCCTACAATTACATGAGTGCAAATGAACTGACATCCAAGTGTTCTCTCTAAAGTCCCCAGATCATGGGGCTGATTATCATTTGAACAGGGCACTAATTAGAAAGAGTGAAAGAGAGAGGATGATTGAGCAAGAGAAAAAGAAAGAGGGAGACACCTCTGGCACCATATGTCCCTTTACTCCTACCCCTCTGCCTACTTATGTTCTGCTGATTAGTTTGTGAATGGAACAGTGATTAGGGAGGCCACGGCAATTGTACAGCCTTTCAATAGAGTGGCTAAATTCAAGGATTTATTTGCAATTAAGCCTTGAATAAATGTTTTGCAAATGGAGCCTCTCCTGTAATATATAGTAAGGGCTTTCTGACTAGAGGCCTGGTCCCTTGCTGGCTTCTCCTAGGAACCCCTCCCCCCATGCAGCATGACCTCATTTGATAACCAACACATTTCAATTTAAGCTTTGATTTC